GGCGAAGGCACCAAGGCCAATAGGGACGAAGCCTGAGCGATCATGGGTGCCGCAGGAGACCAACACAGTGACTCCCGTCAACAAGTATAGGGCCCTCAGAGCAAGCAAAAAGAACTTAAGACCAACGTGGTGGGCCCCTAAACGATCGGTAGCGCCTCGACAGGCTGACCTATGAAGCCCCGGTCATAGGACAGGAACCTCCGAGCAAAGGGGAATTGTTCAAGACTAAATTAATACCCCTCTGCAATCAAGAGTGCACGGGCAGGTTAACAACACGAGTCTTGATAGGAGTGAAAAGTCAACCGCATATGAGACCAAAGGGAGAGAGCCCTCGATCAAAGTAGAGGGCCCCTGAGCATCGAGCGTCTCCGCGCCTTACCTTATAAGAGCCGTAGCAACGGCACAAGGCCCTTCAAGAAAGTAGAAAATACCTGAGATTTATATGAAGGGCCCCTGAGCAACTGAATGTACTCTGGAATATGCGGCCCCGGAAAAAGTGTATGTAGCCTTTCGGGCGAATGGGAAGAATCCGTGGAGGAAAACCCGATTGATCAACAGTGCTCAAGCATGGGGGCAGATAGCGTCCCAACAGCACATTGGGTGCTACGAAAAAAGGGAAGAGATCAAGGGTAACGTGGAAAGGTCCTTAGCGATCATACTGACGCAGCAAGTGGACATATGGAGACAGGCAGCCAACAACGTAATGCCTCTAGACAGCGTAATGAGCCCCAGAATTTCCCCCAAGCAACACTCTCTCAGTCAGCAAAGAATGAACTTCGTTTACTTATGAACCCTTCACTTTTGCTAGCAGTGGTTCTTGGCCATCTGTAGGCCCAAATGCGTCCAATTTTGTTGTGCTTTTGTTGTAAAGAAAGTGCGTCCGTCCGGCCGGTTATGGGCCCCTTCGGAGCCTTTAGGTTCCCTCGGCATGGTCCACGAGACATGGTCCTGTACCTCCCCCCCCCCCCTCCCCCCCCCCCCCACCATCTGCATCCTCCATCGGCCCGAGCAGCTGAATAAATGGGACCCGCTAAGAGCATAGGGCCATCCATTCAAAAAAAAAAAAAAAACTCACGACGCAACGTGTAGGGTTCTGAACGATCGAGTGCGCCAAAACAGGTTAACATATAGGGCCCCGTCAAGAGCTTGGGGCCCTACATTCAAGTAGGAAGTATTCAAAACCCAATATGCAGAACTCCCGAATGATCGAGTGTGCCCGAGCAGGTTAACAGATAGGGCCCCCGAAAAGAGCTTGGGGCCCTCCATTCGAATAGGAAGTATTCAAAGCCCAATGTACAGGACTCCCGAATGATCGAGTGTGCCCGAGCAGGTTAACAGATCGGGCTCCCGAAAAGAGCGGAGGGCACTCCATTAGAATAAAAAGTACCCCAAACCAGACGTGGAGGTCCCCATGATCGAATGGGCCCGAGCACCTTATCAGATGGGGGCCCCGACAGGAGCTTAAGGCCCTCCATTGAAATAAGAAGTACCTAAAACCCCATGCGGAGGGCCCCGAAAGATGGAGTGTACCCGAACAGGTTATCAGATGACCCCGATACGGGCAGAGGGCCCTAAATTCAAACACTGAGAACCAATGTGCAGGGCCCAACAGCAATCCAGTGTGGGCGAGGAGGCGAACAGAGAGGGCCCCCGACAAGTGCGTAGGGCCGCATTAAAATAGCACGTGCCTAAGGCCCAATATAGAGGGCCCTCCGAACGATCGGATGTACCCGAGCAGGTTATCAAATAGCCCCCCCCCCAAAAAAAAAGTGTAAGCTCCCCATTCAGAAAAGAATTCAGCGTAGGGCCCTCCATCCAAGCAGGAAGTATTCAAGACCCAACGCAGAGGACCCCGAATGATCCAATGCATCAGAGGAGGTTTACATATATGCTCCCGTCAAGGGCGTAGGGCCCTCCGTTGAAATAGGAAGTACCCAAGGCCCAATGTACAGGACTCCCGAATGATCGAGTGTGCCCAAGCAGGTCAGCGATTCGGCAAAGAGGTACCAAAACCCAGTGTAGACGGTCCCCGAGCGACTCAGCGTGCCTAAACAGGCCATTAGATGGGCCCCCGATGAGAGTATAGGGCCCTAAGCAAGTGACGGAGAATTGGAAACGCCCTAGACCAATGTAGAGGACCCATGAGCATATCACAAGTGTGTCGGTAGGTTAACGGATACCCACATAAAGGGCCCCTGAGCAACCGAGAATACCCCGGCAGGTTAAGGTATGGGACTCTGGCTACCACTCACAGAGCCTTTCTGGCGAATGGAAATAATCCGTACGAGCGCCCGTGATTGACAAGAGTGCCCCGGCACGCTAACAGGAAGAGCCCCAACAACAGCGCAGGGCCCTCTGAGCAAATGCAAAGAAATGAAGGACAACATGGAATGCTCCTAAACGACCGAAATGAACCTGCAAGGGACATATAGGTCCCCCGGAAACAGCATGTGGTCCTAGACGGTGCAATGGGGCTTAAAATTTCCAGTTAGCAGCTTTTCCAATCATTGAGTAATTTTTGGGACTTCTCATAAGCACTTCACTTTCGCTTACAACTGCTCTTGGTGGCCTGAAGGTCCAGAGATACCCAGTTTTGTTGCGTTCTGTGTTGAAAAAACTGCACCTGTTCGGCCGACTATGGGCCCCCGGAGCCAATGGGCCCTTTTGGGGTCCAAGGGGGGACATGCCCTGTGGCCCCCCTCTCTGGATCCGCCCCTGCTTGTTACTGTACGTTTGTGGGGGATACTTTTGTTATTTTCCACTTTCTTGCTCCTCCCCCGAACTCAGTTTACCCTTGATGTCGGACTGTCGTGGGAAGAAAGTGATTGCTCCTAAGCCTGAGGTGTCATTCAGGTGACCACAACGAAATCTCAAATGGGAGCACCGTAAATCCGATATGGGACCCGAAGGGCTGGCTAACGTTCATTGAGGGGGCACGTGTTGAACTCTCAGATACCAGCCAGAGGGCCCGTTGCAACGATTGGGCCCCGGGCTGGGCCTGGGAGCCCATTTCCCAAGCAGGGACAAGTCAGGACCCGCGGTTTACATTGGTCAGGGCACCCCGAGCCAATGAGAGGCCCCTGTGTCAGGCAGGGGCACACAGCGCCTAACCGGAGGTCCGGTGTTGACAAGGGCCCCCGAGCTGGTCAGGGAGCGTACGAGGGTGCCTGAAGATGGACCGATGTGCCCTTCAAGACTGACGAGAAACGGGCCGATGGGAAGGCTGATTGGCCGTAAGGGTTGAAAGGCTGCAGGTCATCCTGGCCCATATGGCTATGATCCCAAATGTCAGCCAATACGCCTCTTTCGCCGATTGTGGACCCCTGGGACAGTGCGGGCACCTATTTTGGCGCCAAAGGGCCTTTTGGCGCCAGGGAGGGCACCAAGGTAGGACGTGCATCTGTGAGGGCCTCCGGACGAACCCATCAGGCGAACCCGCCTCCATGTCGTCAGAATGACAGCTGGTAGACACCCCGGGCTGGGACGGAATTATCTTTAAGCAATTGCCCGGAAGGGTCGTGTGCACCTAACTTTTCACTAATGTTTACACATGTTGCAGATTACATTACGCATAATGTTTACCCATTACACATTTTCAACTAATGTTTACACATTACGCATTTTCAATTAATGTTTGCACAAGTTCCTGGCCTCATTTACGGTCAACCTTCACGGGATACTCAGTACGCCGCCGTCCGGTATGAAAAACCCAGATTAGAATTCACTCCGTTTACAACTGAAGCGAGTCCGCATCATTACGTCACACCGATAGACCATGAAGCCACCCGCCCAACAGCGGCCGTCGTCGAGATTTGAACCCGGTCTTACCGCGTGCGAGACCAGCACGCTAACCATCCACCCACTTGAGACCCGAGCCCGGCAGCCAAAAAAATGCCATCAGAATAGGACTGGTTCAGAGTGAACTGATGGATTCGATGATCGTTGGATGCATATCACGCATAGAGCCGACTTTTCGTACGGGACTCTGCATATTTGCACTTGCTTCCCTCTAAGGCTGGCAATCCGCGTATGCTTGACACGCATAACCATCTGAAATATTTTTGGAGGTTGTATAAGCCCAGTGCGTAGCGACCCTCCATTTTGGAGGGTGTATAAGTTCGGTGTATAATTATTGATTACAATATCCCCAATTATCATGTTCAGTTCGCCAACGCAAGTTTATTACTTCATGCTTAAATCGAACAATTACTTTCAATAATGTCAAGCCAAGAAGCTCGGCACACAGCCCACCACAGGCAAACAACCAGACAGCCGACCACGCCGCACCACACAGACAACAACCCGCATGAAAGGCCCTTGCCTCACACGCAGACTCCGCAGCGGTGACATGACCAAACACAGGTTCCTGTAACTTCCGCCAGGCGTCCGAACAACTACGGTTTAACGTCAACTATGGAAAAAACTTTCAAAACACCTGAACACTACAGTAATGTACAATCATGGAAAAGTACTCAGCTGATAAAAGTAAGCGGAAGAAGTCATATATCTCAGTTAAAAAGTTGAAAGTGGTCATAAAATGAAAAAAACCTGGGGAGCACTGACCCCAGCTAGACCGTGACTAGTCCATTGAAAGGGAACTGCGAAGTGATTGGCGCTTCCGCCTGGCACAGTCACTAACGATAACAATAACACGAAATACACAAATATATGGCCCAACGGATGCATCTGTGGTTTGCAGAGACCATGCTACACGTCATATATCCAACGAAGACCACGACACAAAGAAATGTTTGCCACCAACGCCAAATACCGACCCCTTCCCAACGCAACAGCGGGAAACCGCATAGACAGCTTGATGTCTTTACCACGATTCCTGGATCTACCAAGGTTTTTAACAAGATGGCGGCGGTTTAACACAGTGGAAGACGGCTGTTGTCCTATCTAATCCTGTGTATCTATGCTTGGCACACGAGTTAAATATTTCAACACCAATGTTCCCATCACTACCTTCATGGTTACCATGACAACGAGGACGCCGAGGAATTGTCGACCCCGCGGCGACGAGCCTCGGTGTGCGGTTTCCCGCAGGCGGTGTTTATTTGAGGGGGGTGTGCGGGGTGTTGTGTTCCGGTGATATAATCGTTGGTCTCACATCCTGAGTTTGAAGTTCAACATACCAGAAATGGCCTCTGTTAACGTTTGTAGATGCCCTGGAGGCATTTCCGCTCAACGCGAGCCTATATTGAATGTCAAGCAAGAACATTGTGGCGATATTCGAATTACCGACTCATGTCGTCCAGCACCCGTTCCGAACCCGTGCAAATCTATCGAGAAGCCTCAGACATTTGGTCTGAACTTAAATCTTCAGTCAATGACGGGCCAAGATTACTCATCGTCAACCGGTTGCCAACTTGTGCGATCTGCCAATATCATAGAATGGGACCAGATGAACGACCGAAAAGTTTTTGGAGCCAGATCGGACAAGGAAAACTCAGAAATGTAAGTATGGATGCCCTATAACTGCCAAAATAGACAGTGTTCAGGCAGCACACGCGTAATGATTGCTGAAGCTGCGGCTTGGCCCGCGTTTTTTTGCGGTAGCGGAGGTCGACCTCGACCGGCGCACGACAATTTATATTAACACACCGTTAAAAGTTGGCATATGTGATTGTGATATGAAAAGCATCGCTACGGGTGTCCAGACAACTGCTGATATCAAACCTAGAGCGAGAATCACCCTGTTGTCCAGGCATGCTGACGCATAAACGAGACTCCCTCTCGAATACACGAAAAGTGCCGCGAATGCCTTCCGTTATGGCCCAAAATATTTATCTAGAGCGAGATAATCTGAAGCATTCGGGAAACAGCTTCCACTCATGTACCCTGCTCACAGCATTTGCCTTGTCATCACAGACACAGAACATGAGTGCGCTGGTCGTTTCGTTATGTGATGCACCGGTAACGTAATATACGGTGCGGCGGCCACACTCGAAACCCCCAGGCCCAGACACTCCACTTCCAGGGTGTTTGAACAGATGGTTCGCCAGCCGTCCATCGTTTGCTGTTGAGCTTCCGCTGCTCTAGTGTTTGTTGTTCTGCTGTTCTAGTGTTTGCTGTGAGGTCCGTTCTTGCTGCAGCGCTCGGGGTCGACGCACGGACCGCAGCCGTGACCTCAGATGACCTTGGCCGTTGAAGGCTCGAGGGTGGACCACCTCACTTTGTCCCAGTGACCTCACCCTTGCCTGGACTGCCCGTCGTCGAACTGTTCTCAGAGCTGTGCGTCACTTACTGATCCGTACTGACCTGTATTGACCCGAGATGACCAATACTGGCTTAGTGTGGCCTATTCCGATCAAAGCCAGGATAGCCCGAGCTGTACTGAGCTGGCCCAAGCACCTCAAGTGATCACATGCTACTGGGAGCAGCCCAAGCTGCCCTGGGGTCGACATGGCCTTGTTTTCGGACTGGACAGTACAGGGTGCGGCTTGTAATGTCTCGTGCGATAGTAGTAAGTTTGTATGGTCTGTTTGAGCAAGAACATGAGGGCCAGTTTGACCCAAGCTTTCGGATTCCTTTCTGGATCACTTGGTGGGATCCAAGCCGGCATTCTTCTCCAACTTAGGCGGCACTGACCCATTCAGGCTGAAGGCATTAGAACGTCCCAGCGTGCGTGTACGTGTGCGTGTGCGTGTACGTGTGCGTGTGCTTGTGCGTGTGCTTGTGCGTGTGTGCGTGTGTGCGTGCGCGTGTGCGTGTGCGTGTGCGTGTGCGGGCGCGGGCATGGGCGCGGGCGCAGTCACGGGCGCGGGCGCGGGCGCGGGCACGGGCACGGGCACGGGCACGGGCACGGGCGCGGGTGGGGAGACCCCTTTTAAGTTAATCATTTTCACTCGCCTACGATGCTATCCATCTCTTCACGATTATTATTAAGCATCGGCCAACATCGAAGAGCCATGACCGCTTCGGCCTACTGCTGCAACGTATGTGGCCAGATCTACTGAGCCCATGCCAGACAAGGACACATCCATCTAAATATGAGCAGAGCATGGCTCAAAACGGCTCAGTGGGCCTGGTTGGAGCGGCGGTCGCGAAAATGGGACGGGTCACATGCCTCACAGCCACTTATGGGTTAAGTCATGCATTGCCATCGTTCAAATCAAGGGCAAAGGCTAGGCCTTCTACGAGCAACAGGGGTTTTCGCTTCCCGCCAGACACGGAATGGCCATGCAAGGAGTGGTAGCCCCTCGCTGTGCGGCCGCAAAACTTTTGGGCGCCCTGGGCTGACGTCCTGACCCGGTCTGGCCGTTGCCTGTATCTGTATTTGACGCCTTGGGTCGACGTCCTGACCCGGTCTGGCCGTTGCCTGTATCTGTATTTGACGCCTTGGGCCGACGTCCTGACCCGGTCTGGCCGTTGCCTGTATCTGTATTTGACGCCTTGGGCCGACGTCCTGACCCGGTCTGGTCGTTGCCTGTATCTGTATTTGACGCCCTGGGCTGACGTCCTGACCCGGTCTGGCCGTTGCCTGTATCTGTATTTGACGCCTTGGGCCGACGTCCTGACCCGGTCTGGCCGTCACCTGTATCTGCATTCTCGCCTTGGGCCGACGTCCTGACCCGGTCGGGCCGTCGCCTGTCACTGTATTGGCGCCTGTTTACCATGCCCTAATATTATTTCACACAGCGGATATCTGTCTCCATATCTCTAGCTATCTCCCAGATCTTATCCGGTTTTTTTCCGAACCCCTGGCCAAAGGTCTTGTCACCCATGCAAAAAACTGTGAGTGCCTGCAAAAATGGCCGCGAACACAAATCATGTTTTTTAAATGGAGCAGGTGTTCGTCCTCGCCAGATTTTGTTCAAAACACGCACGCGAGCGCGGTGTTCGGTTCAAACCAGGTGCGGCTCGACCCGTCAGGAAAGCAGGTTTTGTGAATTGTCTCGACGTGCCGCTGCCCGGCTAGCGGGATTTAACCCCAGGCGTGTCAGGACGCAGGTTTGGTCCCAAGGGCTTCATGTGAAATGAATAGCTTCAAACCCTGAATATGCCAACGCACGCTCGTTTTCTCAAAATCCAGAGTGAGCAGACCATTGCGACAAAGCTACTAAGCTTTATTGGATGTTATGTAGCCAGTGAAACGATACCTGAAGGTCTCATAAACCTTCCCCTGCTGAGGAGGTAACAGCAAGAAAGCTTAACTACGCATGTCGCAGCCAAGTACTTGGCTTGAGATTACTTCAGGTTCAGCTGTGCACATATCCACTGTACCACGGTGGATTCAGATATGCCCATACTGACCTATAGCGGTCTGCGTCGGGCAGATGCCGGGCGATGGCCCGTGGGTGATTCCGACTATGACAAGTGTACTGGTTGACCCCGGCCAAACCTATTCCCTGACGTATCTGCACGGACCCCAGGTGTTTTTCATGAGTACATGACCAACGATGTCAACATTGGTCAGCCGAGAGGTGCTAGTTGGGACAGTGTGGCGGCGCCGCTGCTCTCTCCGCATGCTCGGGCCGCGCTGAGCGCTGCCTGATGCGCCTGCAACCTCTGTTGCAGGCTGCGGGAGCTGAGCAAGCGGCAGCAGGACGAGTGCCTGACCACGTGCCGGCACCGGGCCGCCGACACCACCAAGAAGCTCGGTACGGGCCGCGGTCCGAGCCGCGGACCTCCTGAACGTCGGCGCGCGGCGTTGTGACGGGAGAGGCGGCTTAGCGCCGAACGGGGACCGAGACAGCTGTGGCGGCGAGTCCTCCCACCCACCCATCCCCACCCCACCCGCCCGCTCACGAACACCGACACTCCTGGGCATCCGGTTCGCGATCTTGCACACGCTGCGTCAGGCCAGGACGCGCCGGGACAACAGCGGACGGGGGCTCGATGAGCTCCGCTCGCTGCCGTCACACGGAGCGCCGAGCCGGCGCCCTCAGCGCGGGCCCTGACCAGCCGGACGCCGTGCTGTCACCAGGCGGCGCTGCATCTCGCCGCGCTCCCGGCCGATGCCGGTCGGACGGGTCTGCCCGGCGCTGGGACGGTGGGGCCGCAGCCTCCTCGTCCATCAATACACTCGGGTCGGCGTACGACGGATCGGCGCCGTCACCGTACGCTGTGACCGACATAATCTGCCCCCACGAAGAAAAGGCGTGACTGGTCGCTTGTCGAGCGCGACGTGATTGCCAGCGGTTCTTGTTGCGTCGTTGACTGGCGATGATAGACGTTACCGTTCTGCTGCTGTGCGGCTATTGTCCGTGGAATGCTGCATTGAGCGCATCTCGCAGTGGGCGACGGGGGCGCCTCGCATCGGCTGCGGCGGCGGCGCCGTCCGGCCAGCAGCACCGGCAATGCGTTGATCACTCGAGACGTGGTGCAGCCGCTGAGTGCGCCTGCTCACTGACGCGACAGCTGCCGCGTCCCGGTAGCCGCGTGCTTTCGTGATAACATGATGGCCTGCTGAAGGCGACATCGGAGCTGTCAGAGGCGGCATTCACAGGTGCGACGATGGCCGACTAATCACACGGGGAATGTCGCCAGAGCCGTCCGGGCCCTGTCCAGCTCCGCTCAGTCAGCGAGTACGAATGTCTGGATTTGATAACGTCGCCGATCTCTACCTCTGCCTCTGCCTCTGCCTCTGCCTCTCCCCGGATCCGTGATGGCCTTGGCTGAGAAGAATGGCACGGTGCGTGACATGCAGCTATAATGTGTTGTACCTTCAGGTCGTATAGCCAGCGTCGAAGCGCGCAATTATGCAGTCAGTATGGCGTAACTGCATGCTACCTTGGTACTGCGAGCAGTAATGATTCGTTATTGTGGATCGCCTGATGCTGAGCGTAGTTGGGCCCGATGCTGATGGATCCTCTGGTACAGCGAGCTTAGCGAACAGCTCTTTATGGTCTGGTGTTTTATGTGAGAATGGACTCTGACCGAGCTTTCGCCAGGCGACCAGTACATTGCAGGAGGGTAAACCATGTATCGATGTCGTTAAGCGGCAGCAGCGGGTGTTGTAAGATGATGCGTGGAGCATATTGCGTCACAGGTAAATCAACGGGCGTGGCGATCACTTGCTGATCGCGGTGAGAAGTGAAGTGCGACTGGTCCTTGAAACTGCTAGTGCTGTTCCCGAGCCTTCGACCAAGGCGTGCTGCTTCTCTTCCGAAATATGTAGCTGATGTGAATCCAGTGGTTTGACCCGCAATGTATCCTGCCGATGGTGACGGGGGCGGTCGGAACGGGCTCGCGATCTCCCGCTCACCGGTTAATCCTGCCGATGGTGACGGGGACGGTCGGAGTGGGCCGTGATCTCCCGCTCACCGGTTAATCCTGCCGATGGTGACGGGGGCGGATGGAGTGGGCTCGTGGTCTCCCGCTCACCGGTTAATCCTGCCGATGGTGACGGGGGCGGTCGGAGTGGGCTCGTGGTCTCCCGCTCACCGGTTAATCCTGCCGATGGTGACGGGGGCGGTCGGAGTGGGCTCATGGTCTCCCGCTCACCGGTTAATTCTGCCGATGGTGACGGGGGCGGTCGGAGTGGGCTCGTGATCTCCCGCTCACCGGTTACGTGCCCATCAGGTGCGCCTGCGATGCAGTCCGCCCACTCTGCATTTTTGCACTCGAATTGTGTGTGTTAGCGTGTGGTGCGACAATGATGCAGTCTACCCAGCGCTGTCTGCGCGGGACAGGCCAACAGCAGACACTTCACTCGTCTGGTTTGGCGTAATGTTCGCATGACATGACTGGGGAGGTTTTGAAACATCACGTGGGTAGTTTTGCCGACAAGACCAGCGCAGCCGGACAAACATCCACGGGTGCGCTGAAGCCAGCTCCAGCCTCAACCACCGTCCGCCAGCCTACCTCCAGACCTTCGCCGTTGCGGGCCGGCCGCAGCAGCTCGACCTAGCCTCGGCGGAGCGACACGCTGCCGCTGGCCATTTTGAACTGAACGGGCCCAATCGCGCCGAGCGATCCATCTAGTCCGGCTGGACGGCGACTGCCGGCGAGCGAGATAGCCGGCGCCGGCGATCCATCACCACTCTCCGCCGCCTGTCGGAGCGGCCCCACTTCTCAGCCTCCGTGGTGGCGCATGGCTGGCTGAAGAAGCGCTCTGAGGTGGCTCCATGCTACCGCTCAGAGTGGGGTCGATGTTGCTCAGAGGCGGCTTTGCACTGTCGCTGATCTAAGAGACAGATGGGTTGGCGTTAGAGGGTTATGCTGTATGCAGGTGCTAAGATGTGACGTGGCAGTGCGTCACGAACTCTTACAGGTAGCTCATAACCCCCGCCCTCAGCCTCCAACATGTCGCCTGCGACCCTTACCCTGGACATCTGACCTCTGATCTCTAAACTGTGAACTCTGAGCTCGGGTCTCTGACCTCTGACCTATGAAATCTGAACTTTAACCTCGGTATCTGACTCTCGCCGCCCGCTACAGGTGAGCGTCTGCGTGACACCAACTACTGGAAGTTCGAGCTCGAGAGGCTGCTGGAGGACATGCGGAATGAAATTGACCTGCTGATCGCCCAGAAGAACCGCCTGCGAAACTCCTTGAACGCCTCGCAGGTAGCATCGCACGCGTGCGGTGGCACGGATTTGAATGTCAAGTGCGAGACTCGCGCAATTTCGTGGACAGGCTGTGGGTGCATATAAAACCACGTGTGGAGCTCTATTTACTCACCGTGAGCATGCTGTAGCATGTAGAATATAACGCGCAGAGGCGCGTTTGGATGCCGCTACATGTGTGCGCATAAGCCAAGCATTTACAATATCCCAGTGATTTTTTTGTCTTGAATAGACCATGGACAGACGTTCGCAACGTCCCATCAAATTCCTACTTAGATGCGTATTCCACATGATCTGCGTGCGAGAGCAACAGTCACTCCCTTACGATATGTAGCCACCAGTCGCTCATGATATAGCTATATGTATTTAATTCCATAAACTTGATTCCGTCGTATGTCACTCTGGGCAAAGTTTAAGGCGGAAATGAGTTGCAGGCTAGCTATTGTAATGCTGTGCTTTTCCCGGTTCACTTCATCGCTTGCCATTTTGCAAGCAACTTTATCTGACCCCTTGAAATATTTTCGACGTAAAGGTCAAATCATCGCATCCACCGTGTACATCACATATCGTGCAAATGCATACATGGCGCGCGACTACGACTCGCACGCGGCGTGGCGGTCTATGGTCCCACACGTCTTGATGCGCTCACCGCTCGCTCCAAACTCCTTGCTCCTGTTGACTTCACGATCCAGGCAGCTGTCGGGCGTCGGCGGCGCGGGGGCAGCAATGTCAGCGCGGCGCTGCCTCTACACGCCCTTAGGAGCGGCGATCTATTGACCAAGCCAGCATCCCCGCGCCGTGAATCAATGTATATCCGAAATTGTCCCTGGCGAGCGCGCGTTGCCTTCGCTGAGCGTCGTCACTCGCCGCGCCTCTCCGGGGAGTGGCTGGCCGCCGTGGTACGGCCGGTGGTGTCGCGCCGACGGCGGCGCTGGCGGCACTCGGCGGTCCTATCCAGTATCGTGGTCGCCGAGTGCCGCCGGCACAGAGCCAGCCGACTCGTCTGTAATGTAGCCCGGCGCGCCGGGCACGAGACGCTGCCCGGGGACGACCCGAGGCTGCGGCCGTGTGGCGAGGGAAGGGCTAGCTCGGCTCCATGTCAGACAGAGGTGATCGCAGAGGGAGGCCACGCGCGCCTGGTCGGAGCAACGCCCGGGGGCGGATTAGATGAGTCTGAACTTTGAGAGAGCCTGTGACAGGCAAAGCAGAAATTAGGTGCCTTACGGGGTGCCCGACGGTGTGGTTTTTAAGCTGCCTAGGCCTAAGCAGTTTATGAATTGCCTAGGCGTTGTGGAAATGACACAGTGAGTATAAGCACGGAGACAATGCAGTGGCGATGCGGCGATGAGAGATAACCATGGGGTCAACACGCGCCGTAACATGCGCCGGGCGAGTTTCCACACTCTTTCAAACACTGCACACTTTCTTCACCGCACTCCCGACAGTCGCCGGGCCTCAAGGAAAGAGGGAGGGAGGGCCCAGAGCCGAACAGCCAGCGAACAGCGACCCGCTTCTTCTCCGCGATACGGCGTACGGACCATGCACACGAAATATTTAGAACTTGTCCAGCGCTGCAGTTCTCACCGTGTTTGATGTGGCATGTCTGGGGGATGTAGTGATCGATCGAAGATGCATACCTTCTAGGACTGCGGAGGCTCACCAACGGGATTCAACCGTGGCATTTTTGCGGTCTGGTCATCGCTGGGTAGCCCCTGTAGACTATTTGTGAGTGCAATGTCTACTAGAGGCACTGTCGTCGAGCCATATTACTGCTACCAATGAAAGGAAATGGGCTCACGTCGCTACATTGTTTCAGCAGTGCATAGCGGTGGGGCGCAGGACACAGAGCACGCCATTGCCACCCAGAGGACGGCAAAGCTGATGAGACCGTTCGTGACCGTGTGTCTGGCTTGGAGTAGCACGTTTTGTCAGTGTAGCCCACGTTTCCGGACTGGCGTCGTTTAATGGGTACCTACGGGTACATTGAAGGCGATTGTTATAATAGGATCTCCCAACCCCGAATGGCGAAAAGCCGGAGCTCAAGGCCTGTCTCGCAAAAAGAAGTGCATGGTACAACCTGAGGTTCACGATCGCTGTGCGTGGCGATGCGTTCGTCCCCGGTTTTGGGCCACAAGTGCAGCAGCCGCGGCAACGGCAGGACCGGAGATCAGCATGGGACGGAAGCGAGGAAAGCGGTCCGTGGTCACCCAGCTGTGCGCGTTACGCCTCTGCACTGATCAGTGCAGCGGCGTGTTGTTGGTGAGACAAGGGTACTCAGGATAGCTGAAAGAAGTTCCCATGACCACAGCAATTTCGGGGCTGAATTACTGGTATGTGCCCGCTCTTATCAGAAACGTTTGCGCGGAAAGAAAATCGGCGAAGTATGAGGTGACAGTTTTCAGGACCATTGCAAGCCTTGTGTCGTCCAAACTTGCGTGGTTTTACTTGGACCTCGCCCTTGGCTGGAAAAGAGGCATTGAACACCGCTTTGCATGATGCGGATGTTGTCAGACGCCGAACTTCAAAATTATATGCACGTGAGGATTTCAGTCACCTACCTCGCATGGGTCGCCAGTAAAGACCATGTTTCAGATCATGGATGCCGCACATTGTATTCATGCGCCCGATGGCGTGTTTTTGTTGCCATACGATTATTAGTTTTTGGTATGACGTGGAAGGACCTGTGCATACAAGGCTTGACTTGCTGGATCTGATTCAACGTGGCATCTGTCACATCCACTGCCTTATTTGGTGCATTGTCCAGCTTGCTTAAGGTGCCGACACAGTCGAGTGCCGTTTTCCTCACAGTGCTGATTTTCCCAAAGTGCTAATTTTCCTACAGAAATAGCACGCACAGTTTGTAGACGAAACATAGCTTTAGATTCACTAGTTGTACCCAGCTGACCTCGCATGACTCGTCAAAGTTCACTCGCACCAGCGATCAATGGCACAAGTCTGATGCAGTATCCCTCGAGCTATACCTCGCACCAGCGATCAATGGCACAAGTCTGATGTAGTATCCAGCGAGCTATACCTCGCACCAGCGATCAATGGCACAATTCTGATGTAGTATCCAGCGAGCTATACCTCGCACCAGCGATCAATGGCACAAGTCTGATGCAGTATCCAGCGAGCTATACCTCGCACCAGCGATCACTAACACTAGTCTGATGCAGTATCCCGCGAGCTACACGACGCCGCTTTCCGCCGGCTCTACCCCGATCATTTGTCTCGGTAGCGTGGAGGGCCTGAGAGGCGCCCGCGACTCGGGAGGGTGAGAACTCGACCCGAAGATAGCTGAGTCCGACGAAGCCGCGGGAGCACACTGAGACTACCCGGATGTGTCGCTGATGCGCGTGCAAAGCCAGGTCTGTCAAGTGTCGTCAAACCGGCGTTGAGCCGGTGGTGGTGCAGTCAGGCAATTTGTAAACTGCCTGACTTCCGAGCGGCTTTGAAACTGGCTGGTAGTGTACGTTGTGTGCGAAAATGGTGAAGGCGTTATGTCATCTCGGCGCGGTAGTGTTCCGCCCAAAACTTCCCAGATCACCAATTGGTCTGGGAAATATACACATTATTTAACAAATATGCATATCATTTGTCATGATATTGCTCTCCTTTCGATCTCTTGGTGTAGTGTTCTACTTACTTTTTTATTGCAAGCCAATACCAGCACCAGCGAAATAAATGTGCTTTATTCTATTTTTATTGCAACAAAGTTACAAAAGGTGAGTTTCCAATATCGGTTTTCTGCTGAGCCAGTCTTAGCGGGGATAAATGCAATGTACGGGGAGCGGAACCATGTTTTTGACGCTCATCCACTGGCACATCTGAAGCAGACCTGGGCCTGAGGCGACGCGTCTGTTTGACGTCCCGGCCCCCACAGGAGCGCACGCCGGGGACTGACGGCGCCCCACTGTCCGGCAGATCCCGTACATGATCGTGACGGACAGCCTGGACACGAGGCGGCGCCGCATCGACGGCGACCTCGTCACCGATCAGCTGGACGTGGCCCTGATGAAGGTCGGCTAGGGTCAGGTCGGGGCGAGGTCGGGTGATGTTGGGACCACGGGGCTCAGGCCAGGTCAGCGTGGTGGTCAGGTCACGGCCGGGTAAGGAGACGGGTGGCGACGTCGAGGCAGCACCAGAGCACGGACAGAGGTCAGGTCAGGTCATCATGTCCAGCTGAGGTGCAGGTCATGTCGGGGTGAGATGCGTGGTGGGGCTCAGCTCAAGGCTCAGGTGGTGTGTATGTCAAACAGTGGTGGCCTGTTGGGATGGCGTCAACTCGACTCGGAGTAGACTGCTTTGGCGCAGCCCTGGTGAGTGGTGTTCCGCGAACAGGTAGATCCAGTGGCACAGCTGAGTGGCCACGCTGCGATAACTACACCAATTTTCTGGAGCCAAATGTGAGAGTGATGACCTCAAAACACGAAACGTCTCACGTCCCACCTCGTGTGCGGTGCGGACCGCCCCTCCCGCCTGCGTCACTGCCGCCTCCCGACCTCGCCGCCGCGCCAGGAGATGGACGTCATCAAGCGGGCCCGCGACCTCATGGAGGACACGAGCGTGACGGCTGACCGGGTGCTGGCCGGGGACCGGCGCGCCAAGGACGCCCTGGAGCACGACTGGAGCGACAAGTACGAGGCGTCGCGCATTGACAGCGCCGCCGGCGAGCTGACGCCCAACTCCACCAACATCAAGCCGTACCCGGGCGTGCGCGCCTTCCACCCGGGGTGAGTCGCCGCACCGGGGTAGCCTGGGGTTGCGGAAGCTTACCTGGGGGTTACCGGAGGTTACTGGGGTCGCCTCTAGTCACTGGATCTCATGCGGTCGCTGAGTGTCATGTGGTCACTGAAGGTCACATGCGGCCACTGAGTGTCATGCCATCATTGAGGGCCACATGCGGTCACCAGGGGTCACATGTGGTCACTGAGGGTTACATGCGGTCACTAGGGGTCACATGCGGTCACTGAGGGTTACATGCGGTCACTAGGGGTCATGTGCGGTTACTGAGGGTTGCATGCGGTCACTAGGGGTCACATGCGGTCACTGAGGGTTACATGCGGTCACTAGGGATCACATACGGCCGCTGAGGGTTACATGCGGTCACTAGGGGTCACATGCGATCACTGAGGGTTACATGCGGTCACTAGGGGTCACATGCGGCCACTGAGGGTTACATGCGGTCACTAGCGGTCACATGTGGTCACTGAGGGTCACATGCGGTCACCGGAGGGCCACTTGCAATCACTAGGAGTGATCTTAGGTAACTTGGTCACCGGGCTGTCCGTGGGTCAACGGAGGTCATTGTGGAGCAAGTGACTGGCCTTCAATACTGCTGTAACAGGCCTGTTGCGCAGTCATCAGATTTGCCGGTAAGGTGATCAAAGCGTAGTTAAGCCCATTTAGCGCCTACTGACCTTTAGGGTCCACCTTTCCGGTGGATTTACTCTATTTAGACGAGTCATGGCAAATCACCTAGTTCCAGAACATGAGCTCAGTTATGTATCCTTGAATAAGGAACACCAACGTTGGCTGTCCATATTATCTGCAAGCACGTCCCTCACGCTTGGCATTACTCAGGTTCGTTGACATTCGTTGGAATTGGGGTGTTACCCAGCCTTGGTATCAAAATGTCATCAGCCTTGGCGTCTAGAAAATACGACACCTGAAGGGAATGTTTCTCATTTGAAGACATTGCAGCCTACATCAGACGTGATGAAACAAGCTCACCTATAACTATCGGTACAATTAGGAACAATCAATCGGTACAGTCGGTACAAGTGGAAAACGCTGTCCTAGGCAGCATAAATCTCTGTTTAGTCAATATATTCCTCAATGCGTCGTCATTTGATTACGTCATCTTACCTTGCACAACATTGATTAAAAGCCAACAATCCACCGGAACGGCCGCTTTATCTGGAAATAGCGCTCACGAACGCCAGATTTGAACGCCTCGTCAATTATAGTTTTCTTCGTGTTGATCGCCGCATGGCTTATGGAATGGCAGGATTGGAATGGCATTATTATGACGTCACGTATGCCAAGGTGACTTTGAAATGCTCACCCCGACATACCTTTCCCATTTTTTCCCTTAGGTCTCAAGAAAGGCAAGATTGTGAACAGTACCGAAAGGTCTTCAGGATGGCAATTTCAGTTCAAAGCTCCATATGAATGTGGAACACTCCCTTTGATAGAAAAAAAGGCTTCCAACTGAGTACATAACTGGCAAAAATGTCCCAGCGCTAGTCCTCCCATGAATACGTGGACTAGCTGCACGTCCCATACCATCTGTTATCGTCCCACTTCCATTTCCATATTGTCGGGCGTTTGGTAGGGCGTTTGCCACAGCTCGGCCGTCGTCGTCACTGCAGCGGTTACCAGCGCTAGCCGCACACGGTCACACGCGGCCGCGCTCTGTCCGGGCTGCCCAAGCAGTCCGTGCTCGGGTGGCGGGCAGGCGGCAGGGCTGGCGCGCCTGCCCCCCGGCTCCATGCCCTCATGGCGTCTGGTTCAGCGCGTCGGTAGTCGGCCATTTTCGGTGGTGGTCAGTGTCATTCAGCGGGGAAGGACGTACTGATCAAGACCTGAGCCCGAGTAAGAAATCTGAGTCTGGTGGAGGCGTGACCTTGGTGGAGCCAATGGAGGGACGGGGGGGGGGGACAAGGTGCGTGGCTGAGAGGCTCACAACCGCGCTTGAAATTTCTGATCGTGTTGCGGACGTTTCCGAGGCCGTGACTCCAGCTAGCCGGGCGCGGTTTAATGGTTCGGTGCAACTGCAGATGAACTCGTCACTCATACCCCGCGAAAGGTACCTCAACGTGTTGACGTTGAATCTGCCATCTGCCTGGGGCACATGTCAGGGGAGGAGCCATACGTTAACAGTTAATATGGTTGTGAAGCGACAGGGATGAATGGACGTGGAGTATGAAGGCAATGCATCATATGACTTTCTTGAAAGCATCGGATATTAAACTAATAAAACTGGCTGCGTAAGGATGTGCTTCTGAGAAAGCCGGCGCAAGACAGCCTGGAGATAATGGCTAGCTATGAAATAATAGGAGCTAGCCTTCGTTGCGTGACCCGAGTCGCATGAATATTTCAGGAACAGGGAACCTGGGCGGCTTGCCGAACTCAGTGACTCGTCTGCGGCCAAGGTAGCCTGGAGAGTAGGTCAGCACCATGACCGGTCGGCTGGGTGAACCCCGGCGCCGCTGATCAAGCGCACGAGCTGTGCCGCGCCCTGCATGTCGCCAACCACATGCTCGTGCCTTGGGCTTGGCAGACACGTCTGGCGCGTGAGAATGGACTGCAACGGACCGTCGTTACATGAGTCTTTGTTAAGTTACCTTCAATTTCAATAATCATTAATAGTTCCCGTGGCATATGATGTCACGCAAGCGACCTGATTCCAATGATATCGAGGATGGTATGATAGCGAGTAATATTACAAGATGTGACTTGTTGAAAGCGTATTAGGCATTGTCTGTTTTCTGGAAATGGTCCCATATATCGTTGCTACTATTTCTGGGGTTTCTCGTAACCAGCCCTTTTGGACACTTCCGCAGTGCGTATGACGCAATGCCCCATTGGGAGCGTACATGTGCATGCGCCCCCAGCCGATGGGCCAGTTACTTCGAGTAGTTGTGTAACGCTTCTCAAGGCGACTGTCATAACGCAAAATCGCTTTCGTTTACACGCGCCCGAGTGGCCTGCTAGATACCCTTTGCTCGGATAGGGGTCAATTTGAACCCCTGAGATCTCGAGAACTAAGAGAGCTAGAGACACTAAATTTACAGGGTGTGTTAACTTGTACGTGAAATCACTTAAGTCGAAGTTTGAGGTTCCTAAGTCATGACCTTCAGGTCAAATAAGGCCAAACAAGGTCAAATTCCTGGTTGGTCTCCAGAGTGTCCCCAGAACCTGGATCTAGATCAGGGTGTCTCTAAGCCAAATATCACATGCTCATTTAAGTTCAGTGACCTTGTTTGAAATTTTGAAGGTCATGGTGACCAAGTAAAATGTGGTTCCTATCAATGAATGCGAAATGAGCACCAGAAACTGTCCCATACAGAAAAACCTAGAGAAATAAAACGGGTTGGTTTTGACCTTAGTCTGACCTTTGTACCTGACCTTAGGTCAACGTAATTTGCTCACTCAATATTTGTGTTGCCTAAGAAAGCATCTCAGGGATGTATGGCTTCGTCTAACACTCCGTTGTTGCATCAGACTGAACGATTCCCTAGAAATTGCCTTCGCTGAAACCATAGCCCGACTGACCTGCCATAGGTCAGCGACCTTACGAGATGCATCTAAATTTGTGATGCAAACGATCCATTATTTAATTTTCTACAGGTATGCGAAATTTGGCGCAGTTACACCGCGTCGTTCGAAGACCATTCTAGAAAAACCTTCGGGGATCAATTTGACCTCTAACCGAGCGCGTGTTGACCCCCAACCGTGCGCTAAGGGGACATTGACCCC